AATGAAGACCATAACTAGAGACAAAGAAGGCCACTACATAATATTGAAATGATCTATCCAACAGGAAGATATAACCTTGATAAACATATATGCACCCAATATAGGAGCACCAACATATATTAAAAATCTTCTAGAGGACTTCAAAGGAGAAATTGACAGCAATACAATCATAGCAGGGGACTTCAACACCCCGTTGACACCACTGGATAGATCCTCTAGACAAAAAATTAGCAAAGAAACAGAGACTCTAAATGAAGCACTAGACCAAGTGGATTTAATAGATATCTACTTACACCTCAAAACTGCAGAATTCACATTCTTCTCAAGTGCACATGGGACATTCTCAAAGCTAGACCACATGAGAGGACACAAACTAAATCTCTACAAGTTCAAGAAGACTGCAATCATATCAAGCATTTTCTCAGATCACAATGACATTAAACTACAAATCAATTGCAACAAAAACATGCAAAGACATTTGAACACATGAGGGCTAAAGAGCATGTTATTAAACAATGAATGGATTACTGAGGAGATCAAGGAAGAAATTAAAAACTTCTTGGAAACCAATGAAAATGAAGACACAACAACACAAAATCTATGGGATACAGCAAAAGCAGTTCTGAGAGGGAAGTTTATAGCACTACAGGCCTACCTCAAGAAACAAGAAAAATTTCTAATTGACTGTCTAACCTCACAACTTAAAGAATTAGAAAGCAAACAAAAAGAAAACCCCATAGAAAGTAGAAGGAAGGAAATAGTAAAGATCAGAGCAGAAATAAATGACATAGAGAACAAAAAAAACAATTCAAAAGATCAGTGAAACAAAGAGCTGGTTTTTCAAAAAGATAAACAAGATTGATGAACCAACCCTTAGCTAGACTCACCAAGAAACAAAGAAATAGAACCCAAATGCACGAAATCAGAAATGAAAAAGTAACAACTGACACCACAGAAATACAAAAGATCGTTAACAGCTACTATGAACAATTATATGGCAACAAATTCGACAATCTAAGTGAAATGGACAAATTTCTAGCAACACATAGTCAAAAAAATTATCAAAAAAATTATTCACCATGACCAAGTGGGATTCATCCCAGGGATGCAAGGCTGGTACAATATTTGCAAATCAATAAATGTGTTACACCACATAAACAAAATGAAGAATAAAACCACATGATCATATCAATAGACGCTGAAAAAGCATTCGACAAAATCCAGCATCCATTTGTAATAAAAACGCTCAGCAATGTGGGAATAGAGGGATCATATCTCAACATAATAAAGGCCATATATGAAAGACCTACAGCCAACATCACACTCAATGGGCAGAAATTCAAAGCATTTCCTTTAAGAACAGGAACAAGACAGGGATGTCCACTTTCACCACTCTTATTTAACATAGTACTGGAAGTCTTAGCCACAGCAATCAGACATGAAGAAAAAATAAAAGGGATACAAATTGGAAAAGAGGAAGTGAAATTGTCATTATTTGCAGATGACATAATATTATACATAGAAAACCCTAAAGACGACATCAAAAATCTACTAGACCTAATAAATGGATTTGGCAAAGTAGCAGGATACAAAATTAATGTTAAGAAATTGACAGCATTCTTATACACCAATGATGAACTCACAGAAAGAGAAACTGAAAAAACAATCCCATTTACCATTGTGGCAAAAAAATTAAGATACCTAGGAATAAACTTAACCAAAGAAATAAAGGACCTATTTGCAGAAAACTACAGGACATTGAAAAAAGAAATAGAGGAAGATATAAAAAATGGAAACTCATACCTTGTTCATGGATTGGAAGAATTAACATCATTAAAATGTCCATACTACTCAAAGCAATCTATAGATATAACACAATCCCCATCAAAATACCAACCACATATTTCACAGAACTAGAACAAATACTTCAAAAGTTCATATGGAACCAAAAAAGTCCCCTAATACCAACAGCTATTTTGAAAAAGAAGGACAAAGTAGGTGGGATCACAATACCAGATATTAGGTTATACTACAAAGTGACTGTAATCAAAACAGCCTGGTACTGGCACAAGAACAGGCATATAGACCAGTGGAACAGAACAGAGAACCCAGAAATGGACCCAAGACAATATGCTCAATTAATATTTGACAAAGGTGGCAAGAGCATACAGTGGAGTAAAGACAGCCTCTTCAATAAATGGTGTTGGGAAAATTGGACAGCTACGTGCAAAAAAATGAAACTAGACCATCAACTTACACCATACACAAAAATAAACTCAAAATGGATAAAAGACTTAAATGTGAATCCATAAAAATTCTAGAAGAAAATGTAGGAAACAAAATTTCAGACATCATACACAGCAGAATTTTCACTAATACATCACCTGAGGCAACAGAAACAAAGGAAAAAATAAACACATGAGACTACATCAAACTAAAAAGCTTCTGCACAGCAAAAGAAACAACCATCAAAATGGAAAGGCAACCCACTGTATGGGAGAACATCATCGCCAATGATACATCAGATAAAGGGTTAATTTCCAAAATATATAGAGTACTCATACAACTCAACCAAAGGAAAACAAAGAACCCAATTAAAAAATGGGCAGAGGAGCTGAATAGACACCTCTCCAAACAGGACATACAAGAGACATATGAAGAAATGCTCAACATCACTAATCATCAGAGAGATGCAAATTAAAACAACAATGAGGTATTGCCTCACACCTGTCAGAATGGCCGCCTTGAACAAATCATCAAACAAGTGTTGGCGAGGGTGTGGAGAAAATGGGACTCTAGTGTACGGCTGGTGGGAATGCAGACTGGTGCAGCCACGATGGAGAACAATATGGTGTTACCTCAAAAAATTAAAAATTGAACTTTCATTTGACCCAGTGATCCTGCTTCTAGGAATATACCCTAAGAAGCCTGAAACACCAATCAGAAATAATATATGTACCCCCATGTTCATAGCAGCACTATTTACAATAACTAAGATCTGGAAACAGCCCAAGTGTCCATCAGTAGACGAATGGATAAAAAAGCAGTGGTACATATACACGATGGAGTACTATGCAGCGGTAAGAAAGAAAGATCTCTTATCTTTGAGACGACATGGAGGGACCTGGAAAGTATTAACCTAATTGAAACAAGCCAAGCAGAAAAAGACAAATACCACATGATCTCACTTATATATGGAATATAATGAATATAACAGTCTGAGAAAAAGGGTAGACCCAGAAACACGGAAGTAGGGTACAGACTGACAACCCTCAGAAGAGGAGGTGGTGGGTGGTGGGAAAAGATAAACCACAGAACTTATATACATGTATGCATAACTAATGGACATGGACAACAAAGCCGGGGACGGGGCAGGGGGGATAGGGAGGAGGCTGTCAATGGGGTAAAAAAGGAGAAACAGCTGTAACAAAAAAAAAATTATAATAATAATAAAAAAATACTTAAAAAATAAAATAAATCTGAAAGATTAGAAAAATAAATAAATAAAAATAAAAAAAAGTAATATAGTGGTTACATGTTTACTGATAATATAAAAATCTGAAAAGAATTGCATCAGAATGCGTATCTCCTCTGTTAGCTTTTTGTAATGTTAAAATATCTCTACCTGAAAAATACTTTTTAAAAAAATTACTATTTTATTTAATTTTTACATAATTTAAAATGTTTTACTACTCTGAGACAATCTTCTACCAATATGAGAATGCCAGTAATAAAAATTATTTCACATAAATGGGAAAAGAAACCTGTTAATAAGACTTGACATGCCATGTCCTTTATTGATAGAAGTTCATTCTACTTAAACTATATCAGTACATTCTACTAATTAAACCATTTATTGAAAATTCCAAAATCAGAGGCACTAATAAAAGCAACCTATGTAGCATGTTGAGTTGTGTCAGTTATTAAAATGACACATTATGCCCTGGGCAGGTGGCTCAGTTAGTTGGAGCATCTTCCTGGGCACCTAAAGGTGGTGGGTTTGATCCCTGATCAGGATGTGTACAGAAGGCAACCAACTGAGGTGTACCTCTCACATCAATGTTTCTCGCTCTAAAAAAAAAAAAAAAAAAAAAAAAAATCACTGAAAACATTCCTTGAGTGAGGATTAAAAAAAAGAAAATAAATAAATAAAATGGCACATTCTGTGTGTCTCACAACTTAGTCAGCTTCCATTTCAGCTGGCATCAAGCATAACAATTGATTTAATCAAAGTCCATTAAAATATTTTCAAATTTTAGCACTTTGTCTAGCAAATGAATAATGACAAAAATTGTTAGCAACAAATTATAGTTGATGAGTCAGGGATTTCATATTATGCTACTATTTGACTCAGTAATTACACTTTTAGAAATGCATTCAACACTATAATAATTATCTGAAAGAGAAAAAAGACAACACAAAAAAGATGTTCAATACAGAATTATATACAATTATAAATATTTGAAAATGATTAAGAGGCTTAGAATGGGGATAAACATTTTAAAGAAGCAGAGTAAAAGTTAAAAATGCTCATGAAACAGGGTTAAGGAAAAACAGCAACACACAAGGATGAACCAAATTGTTTCAACCACCTAAAATAGTTGCCACAAAGAAGAAAGTCAAATATATATATACATATATATATGTATATATATATTACAAAATTAACAATGGATCGTTGAAGGGCAAGAGAATATAAATTTTATTTACTTCTTTGTATTTTTGGTATTTAAATTACTTTTATTGTCCATGCATTACTTATATAATCAGAAAAGTATTATTAAAAAGATGCAAATTTTATTTTTTAAAAAATTGTATCCAAATTTGTTTTACTTTATGGGACTTAAACATGTATAAATTATAAGAGTTGGCAATGTGTGTTCTCAAACACTATACAAGCTCATTCTGCAACTTCCTTACTGCTAACATCATTCATTGTGAACATTTCATTTTCTTCAAATTATATATCAATTCTTGCTAGGAGAGCAAATTTTACTTACTTTACCACAATATTTCCTAAACACCGAGTCTTCAGTTTTTGCATGTTGTCATCCAAAATCATAACTACAAAATAAAATTAAATAAATACTTTGAATAAAAATGCATGACCTCAAAGCTTCAATGTTTCCATATTTTCTCTATTCAACATTCAAGACTCAAGCTTTAAAAAGGCGTCTTGTAATTCCTGTGAGACCATAAACATATATAAATAAGCTAAAATATCTCACAAAAAATATAAAGAGTACATGCTTTTGATTTCTAACAAGATCATGTACTTTCAGTAGGCTCACCCTTAAGGACGTCATATTTCAAACATGCTAGTAATTTCAAAATCTATGCTCATATCCATTTAAACATATTCTTCCACTCCATCAAAAAACATTAGAAATATGTTCAGCTTTTCAAAAATTAAAGGAAACACGTTTTAAAATACACCAGAAAATATTTCAAACACTAAAAATAAAGTATTTAAAAGCCTGGAAACCCCGTTTTTCTGATTGAAGGCTTCCTATCCACTTATCCGCCTCATAGGTCAATTTAACCTTCCCAAACATTATCCCAGGGCTTTCGGTTACACTGTTTAAATCCTGCAGGATTCGGGGAGATCAAAGCTTGTATCCACATTCAGTAACCCTTAGCACCAACTGGAAATGAGAATATATCATCATGTTTTAAGCTTTAATAGATCCTTTATGTGGCTTCATCCATCCAGGTTATTCTACTGAAAGAAGCTATGAGAATGGAACATTATCCCCAGAAAAAAACTAATCACTCCCTTCTTCGTGTGCCCAGAGCACTTTGTTTTAAAATTCTACTCTGACAATTATTAGCAGGGTAGCTATCTGTCTCTCACTCCATTGTGAGTTCATTAAGGGTGGAGGCCAACCCTAATTCATCTTTGTTTTCCTGACTCCCAGTACAGTGGCCAATTTACTATGTGCCCCTGAGCACAATCTATTACCCCTTCAATTTCCCCATCTAAAAACTGAGTGTAATTCCTTTCTCATAGGGTTGGTATAAAAATTGCTTGAAAAATAAATAAATAAATAAGGCGACACATTTGTTTAAGGTATTCCATGAATGTGAGGTTGTGTTATAGTATATTAAATGTTTTTCACACTCAGAAAATGGTTTTCTTTCTTTTCTCAAAAGAATACTATGTTTTTAATTCTAATATTACATTTAACATTACACTTTTGAATCTCTGAAAAGCCACAAGGCATATAAAGATCAAGAGTCATAAAGTCACTACTTCTTTGGTTATAAATACTTTAGCTCTAATGTCTAACATACAATGGCTTTCAGACAGTGAGACACTTCTGTCCTGAAATTCCATAAGGCATCAAAGCTTGCCTTCTTCTTACAACTGGATATAAAAATGGCACCGAACCACTGAAAAGAAAACGTTCAGCATCTCCCACAATCATCAGCCCCTAAAAATGGCCCAACACAAAAGCAATTTTTATGACAAAAGGAGCAGAGATGACAGAACTGTTCAAAGGGAGGGTTTCACTGACACGGGATTCGCCTTTCCATGCCTGGAGATGTCACTGACGGCACAGAGTATCTATTTCTGACCTTTAAAAAAACTTTAAGTGTCTTTTTATAAATATCGTCTACTGGGTTAAATCAAATGATCCACATTTTCTTAACCAGTCATCGTCCTAGGAGGATAATACAATGTTTTAATGTTAGAGCAGCAAAAGACAAATGTCTAAATTGTATAATTTCCATGCAAATAGGAACTATATGGAGGAATCATATTCTGTCCCACAGAACTGGGATAAATCCATGAAGCTAAGTTAATGTCAATAACTTCTGTGCCTCAGTTTTCTTGTCTATAAAATGAATACGTGAGTCTAAATCAAGTCCATGCACCTGGCTTCTCTGCTATTACTAGCTTACTAGTTACTAAGTGCAGTCGTTCAACGGGCAGTGGCTTGTGTTACTGCTTCATTGTGTGACATCACAACACAGCAGCCCTATGAGACACAGGGCTTGAGTAAGGAAATGGAAGATTTGAAAACTTAGACAACTTCTGTAATGATGCAAGTAGGGAATGGAGTCCAAGGGATTTTACTGAACCACTGTAAGCACTACCAACAACTTAACGAATACTGATGGATAGGGTATCCCATTGTCCTACAGTGTCCATCGGGATGAAAAGATCCTTGTTTTTAGAATTCTTACTCTTTATGTACTTGATACCTAGCAGGTTTCGTACATATTAATTTCACATCTGTATATTTTTTAAATTGAAACTTGATTTTTCAGTTACAGTTTATATTCAATATTATTTGTGTTAGTTTCAGGTGTACAACATCACGGTTAGACAATCATACACTTTACAAAATATTCCCCCTGGTATTTCAAGTACCCACCTGGCACCATACATAGTTATTAGAATACCATTGACCATATTCCCTATGCTATACTTTAGATTCCCAGGTCTATTTTATAATTACTAATTTGTACTTCTTAATCCCCTCAGCTCTTTCACCCAGTCTCCCAATCCTCCTCCCCTCTGGCAATTATCAGTCTGTTCTCTGTGTCTATCATATCCATATCTTCAACATGCCTTATAAATGATATTATTTTCTTGATTATGATGTCATTTAGAACATATTCTTAGACGTCTACAATCTCATTTTTAAAATCAAATTGGCTAATAAAATTAAGGCGTTTCTTATTAATACAGGTATTCATTCAATGAAATACTTACTAAGCACATAACATATTTCATGCAATAACATTCACACTATACACATACAAAAATTTCAAATTTAGTAGCCTCACATAGTTTTTATAGTCAGGGTCATTTCCTACCGTTGTATCCTGGAACACATTTTCCTGCTTGCCCTGGAGGAGGTGTTTTAGAATTACCTAATCCAATGCACGATGCAGTAATTGGGGATCCAGTCTCTGGAAAAAGAAATATTACGTATCATTTAATATTTCAATGTGAGATCATGATTTCTTCAGTGTGTTCACTGTCCCTCTCCACAAAGTTTGTCACAGAATTTATATGCATGAGAAATAGATCAACAGTGCAAATGCAATATTTAAAAATGAAACACAATCCATGCCATACTGACAGTTTTAAAACTTAAGGACACACATTTAGAATACTATATATAGTAGTGCTTCTTTCAAAGAAAACGAAGTCCTCTCTCGTGCTCTCAGTTGTGAATGGCAGGCGTGAAGAACAGAGTTGTGTGATTGGGAGAGGTTCATAACACACGTTAAAAATGAAAAAGTCTCTAGAAAAGATGCTTTTAACTCACCTAAAGTTATTTTATCGTGGTAAATAACAGCTATGTGCAAAGTATTTCTGTTAAGCATAGCTTAGTCTCCGCAATAAGTAACCCAACAATGTTTAAAACAATATGAACAATAGCATACTCTAATATTTTGAAGAATTACACTTGCCCGGAGACCCTGGCATCTGAAGCTGAATTCACCAATGCTTTATCAAATTGCTCTCCGTCTGCTTTTCCTGGACGTTGAGAAGGCCCAGGACAAGGGAAGAAAGATATTTATACTATGCTGATTATTTCAGCAAGACCAGAGACTTACCCACAATTAGCCTGCATTGATTAACAAAAATGTTAAATTTGTTTTCTCTGTGTCCAGCTGTAACAGTCAGAAAAATAGCAGCTATGACATAAAGCCATAGTTATGAAAATGAATATTTTATAAAAGAATTCATTTGTTATTATTAGTAAATACAAATTTAAATTTGACAGAATGTTTTACGTATAAGATCTGTGTCTGTGGAAGGGCAGGATGAGAGGGTATTAATAGTGAAAATTTTCAGAACTACTAGCTTAATATTATACACATGCATACACCCAAGGGACTAATTGCCAAAACAACTGGATCCAAAGTAATCCAAAATATTAAAAACATCTATCTTCCTAAGCACTCAGAATGTGTTCCTTCCGCTGTGGTCTCCGCCATAATTTATCACACAGTTATATCACTTTGGAACGATGGGAAGAATTTACTACCGTTCTTTACTTTCCCGCATCATTCAGTTTATTATGCACATTTTATGGATGGTGCTCAGCTGGCATCGATAACAGAAGATGCACTCTTGAACATTAAAACACAGTCCCTAAGTCACAGCCCAGTGCTTAAGGTCCTAAGCCATATGGTCACCACTGAGGAGAAGCAGCAAGTACCCAGAGCAGACATTTTTGATGTTTAACAAAGAATTCTCAAATATTTTCAGAGCACGATAGAAAATGGGAATGTATTTTATGAAATGGCATTTCATCAGCCATGCAATGCCTGGCCAGTCCCCTTCCAGCACAGGCGGAGCATCGGAGGAGATCCACGTATTTAGAAGAGATAATAGCATCTTTCCCTTTGATTTTTAAAAACTGACGTATTGCTGTCCGGCCGGTGTGGCTCAGTGTGAACATCAACCCATGAACCAAGAGGTCGCCGGTTTGATTCCCAGCCAGGACACATGCCCAAGTTGTGGGCCTGATCCCTAGTCGGCCAGGAGGCGGCCAATCAATGTTCTCTCATCGATATTTCTCTCTCTCTCTGCTCTTCCCTTCCTCTCTCTCTAAAATCAATAAAGAAAAAAAAATTTAAAAACTGACGTATTGCTCACCTCCGCTGTCCTTCAAAACTGATGGGAGAGACAAGAGCAGGGGAAGCAACCCCGTAGAGCAAGGGTCTTAAAGGCAGGTCCACAGAGCAACGCAGCAACAGGAAACAAGAGTTGCTGGACCACTTTGGAAAAGGAGAGATCCCCTTCAAGATGCTTCTATCAAGTTTAGTTTATCAGCAGGGGTACTTCCAATCACATGAAGTTCAAGCTCACCACATTTCTTAACAACAGAAGGCTTCTCAGCAACTTGACAACACATGGCCATAGACCCTACAAATGGTCCTACATTCCAACGGCTCTAGTACCTGCCGCCTAACAGAAAAGCAAGCACAGAACCACCGCAGCAAAACTACAACTGCACCCTGCTTCCGCCCATCCTACTGTGGATTCGTACAGACATGTCAACACGCTGTTGTTCCTGCAAGATCAGGGAGTGTGGGGACAGGAAGGGACAATGAAACCTTGTCTTAAAGACAAGGACGGGTTAGTGGAGCACTGTCGATATCGACGGCCTGAGTAAGCTGACGCTTTACATACTTCCTGAGATTCTTAAGCATCTTTGTATAGTGATTACACACCTATAATCTTTTAACCTTCAGTTGTTTTGTTATAGTTTACGATTATAAGACAACTATGATTATTTTCAATGAATTGTAAAGACAGTGAAAAGAATTATCCAGTCAGTTACTTAAAGTATATGTATAATATTTATACTTTGAACGTTCACAATTTGAGTATCTCATTGACCTTATTTGGATATGCATTTAGGGGATTAGAAAAAGCAGTAGGTACTCACATGCAAAGGATACAATCAGACAAAAGGACAGTTCCTAGGACTCTAAGCATAATAAGGAGCCATACTCTTAGGACAAAAGTTAGAAGAGAACGACCATAATGGTTGTTATGAAAACTTTGGTTTTCTGTCTTTATACCTCTGACTGCTCTGAGGCCCCCAAACTGACCCATCCGTAACACAAGCATGCACACATGTGCTCACACATTCATGCACACACTTCGTAGCCACCTTAGCTCTCAGGCTGGTGCACGTGGAGAATAGACTTCTGGTCGGGGAAAGCCCCCAGGCGAGCTGCAGCTCTTAACCAAACTCCAAAGGTCTCCAAAAGCCCCATTTAAAAGATATTCTTAAAACTTCTGCTTCACACTGTCCACGCTACAATGAGCAGGTGAGCAGTTGTTTAGGGAGACAGGAAATCCAGATGTGACACTGTGGTTGGGAAACAGCTATGTTAAACAAACCAGAACATTCAGTTTGAAGAAGAGAATAGGGTACTACATTTGGAGAAATCTTTCCAAAGACCCCTAACCTTAGAAATACACAATGCTTAGCAATTTACCAGCACTTTTTTTTTAAACAAGAGGCAACCAGGGAGAAGAATATGAAGGATAAGTTACCTTGGTGCATTTATATTCATACTGCATTCAAAGCCAATAAAATACTTCACTTTTTTGTATGTGTCTTTACTGCCTCACTTTACCTCATTGCATTAGTGAGTTGTTACCTAAATGAATTTCCCTTAACACTTGTCACTCTAAAGGAAGGGAAGGAAAGAGAACTAATATATATTATATTTTCAAACATAAATTATGCTGTGTAAATATGCATATAAACATAATGAGGCCTAAGCAAGAAAATTTAGACCATTTGCCGTGGTTTGCATAGTTCTTTCAGAGAAGAACGGACATGACAAGTGTATCTCTTGAGGTTCTAATGTAGAATGAAGAGAATTAGAAGGAAAATCTTTTAGACAGTGTCTCAGGGGAAGAATAGTCCTTGTGCCAGAGAGTGAGCCCAGTCTCTCACATTTGCAAATGGAGTCATGGTGGCACATATCATTTATTAGCAAATATTTATTGAGCAATTATTATAGGTTAGGTGCTGTCATTAGCACTGGGGCTACAGCAATAAACAAAAGTCACCAAAATTTCTACTGTCATGGAGCTCATATTCTAGTTGGAGAAATAAACAATAAAAAACATACAAAAGTAAAACAAAGGCACATTAAAGAGAGTAAGCATTAAGAATATAAAGAAAGCACAGACAGGGTATGAGATGTAATGGAGACAGTAGTTTTAGATTAGGTGGCCACAAAAGACCTCCCTGAAAAGGTGACATTTGAGCAAAGACCTAACAAACACAGAGGACATGTTTCATTTGTGTATCAAGGATCAAGGAATCCAACAGGAAGAAACTGTAATTGTAAAGGTCCTGAGACAGGTTTATTCCCAGGGGATTTGAGGAACAGTAAGGCAGCCAATGTGACTGAGGCAGAATAAATGAGGAAAGTGTTAACAAGAAAAAAGGCCAGAGAGGTAATGAGGAGACAGATCATAAGACTACTTCAAAGTCCTTGTAAGACTTTAAGCTTTAAGTCTGGGTGATGTTACAAGCTAGTGAGGACTTTTGGACAAAGAAGCTAATGAATCACAACAAAACAAATAATATTTACTTAAACATTTGCACATCATTTGGGTTCTATGACCAGGTTTATTTTATTTGGGGTTTTGAGGGAGATGTATGGGAAGAAATTCATGGACAGACATAAGCTGTAATAGAATAGTTGATCATTGGTAGAGATTCCTGTGGCTTCCTCAACATCAGGAACCAAGTCACATGAGAAATCACTAGATTTCCAGAAATACTATGGCCCAGTTAGATGGTATATGGGAGACAGCCCACACAAACCAAAGATGATCATTCTTGTTATATAAGTGTTACTGTGTAAATAGATCAATAGAACATTTCTGAATGGCAACTTGGCAATTATTTATTGAACATACCTTTTAACCCATTGTTCCACTTAAGGGTTATAAGGAAACATTTGTAGGTCACCAATATTAATCATCAAAGACATTAATCACAGTATTACTTACATTAAAGTTTAGAAGATTGTCAAAAATAGGGAATAGTCCATATTAAGTAGTAATGCAAAGCCTTTTAAATATGATAAAAATATCTGAGTGGAAATAATTCTCATAAAATGTTGTTTAGAAAATTTGTGAAACAGAATACCCAGTATAATCCCTTCCTCCCTCCCTCCCTCCCTCCCTCCCTCCCTCCTTCCCTCTCTCTCTCTCTTTCTCTCTCTCTCTTCTTTCTTTCTTTCTTTCTTTCTTTCTTTCTTTCTTTCTTTCTTTCTTTCTTTCTTTCTTCTCCTTCCTTCCTTCCTTCCTTCCTTCCTTCCTTCCTTCCTTCCTTCCTTCCTTCCTTCCTTCCTCTCTTCTCTTCTCTTCTCTTCTCTTCTCTTCTCTTCTCTTCTCTTCTCTTCTCTTCTCTTCT